AATAATAATAATAATAATAATCATCATCATCATAAAAAAAGCTAATTGTTTTTAGAATCAGTAGTCAGGGCTGTGGTAAATGAGTCGTATAATTGATTTCTCTGAAAAATTAGTCCGTGTTTTCGCCAAACAATTATCCCATTTCCACAAAATGGATCAACCACAATCTTCTACAATCCACATCCTCCTGCTGTCTTCCAGCCAATAATATAACGTGACATCATCACCGGGCGCAGTCGATCGAGTGATCGTGATAGACTCCAATGGTTTCTTCGAAGATTCCATTCATTTACTCTTGATATTATTTCTTTGTCTTTTTTATCGCTCTGTGAATGTTCGTGGTAATGTGCAAGAATGTGCGGTGCAAAGGTTACATATAACAACCGATTGTCATTTCATCTGATCTGTCAAACTAGAGCACACGTCCCGTTGGTATGTAGCCTTCAACTAACTCAGATTGTTGTGCAGTTGTTGCTATTTCTTTCCATTTTCTTATCACTCTGCAGTTAGGGCGGCCCACCGAGGGGCCCTCTGTCATCTGTCAAAACCTTCAACTATGCTGATGCACGTCGTCAGCTGAGTACATGTGTGAACATGTTATACATCTTTTAAAAGCTGAGTTTCTGGAGATTTGACTGGTGCCCAACATTTTACAATTGTCAAATTTGAACTGGAACTTGGAGAGACCTCAAGCTTAGATCCTGTAGTGTTTTCAAGTCCTAATCAACATTCTAAATTCATTTTCAAGACAGATTTTGTGAAAAGAAATTAGACGAACATAAGATTTGCCTTTTCTTTCTGTTTTCAAACATCCATAGTTCAGTGACAGGAGCACTTACACAGATTCTGACTGTTTGGGAGAAATATTCAAAATGATAACATTTTGAATATTTCAAAAAGAGACCAAAACTATGCTGATACTCCAAATGGTTCATGAACAGCTACAAATTTACTTTGGGTGCACCTTTTTTCAGGCGTGTTCAGCAAAGTTGCCCTCAGCCTAAGGGGTTTTTAATCTTAGCATCTACTATTGTGTTCGTGTCAGAACCAGAAACTAATGAGTATTACGCCAGAAGTTTATATAACTTGGGAATCGCGGACGTTCGAGCACAGTTACGCATTAACCTTATGCGTAACCGTGCTTGATTCCCAAGTTATATAAACGCATGGTTACGCATTAAGGTGCTCACGTGATCGATCGTTACCAAAGGAAGTGCCTGATGTTTTCCATGCAACTACCGTATCAACAGTGGTGTCGTGGATGTTTTTATAATTGCTGCATGAACTACAAAGTATTTATTGAAGTCTGTGTGTGAGCAATTTTGTCAGGAGCGTGTGCCCAGAGTTTCCGTTGACATGAGGCAGAGAGCCGCTTTCAGGGATGAGAGTTTTCCGCTTTTTGGCGGAATTACGCTTTTTTCTAGTCAAAATGGACCTTTTTTATATTGTTCCAAATCCGTTGAGAAAATTTTAAGGGGTGGGGTGTAGGGTCTGGTGTTATTTCTGGGCTGACAGACTTTCTTGTCTTCGGCAGACTCGGGACTCGTAATGTTTACAAATAAAGTTTGCAAGCATCCATTTTGAATACCGTTTTTTCTCGCGAAGCGTTAGTTTGTCGATACTTCGTAAATGGGCTAAAACCAATGTTTTACTTGTTGTGATTGGTCGCTGTATCGGCAAATGCAGAGTCACAACTAATCCGTGTTCGCCTTCCTAAAGCCCTTTTCCGCGAATTCTGAATGGTTTTGCATGAGGGAAGTAGTGTATTGAAATTTCTCGTGTATGTAGTCTGTATTAAACAAATGCCGAATGTTATTGAGACTCGTGACGAAGCTAACGTGCGTCAGATAGATGCGGATCTGAAAAACAAGTTTCGATGGGACTGGTTGGAATGAAAGCTGACGGTGTCCCCAGTATAAACCAATAAAGAGGAACCATTGTCTGTGCTTGTGTCGGATTTCGTGAAAAAGCTCCATGTCGCTGGTAAAGCTGTGTACAGTGTGTGACGATGTCATTCTATATGGAAAATGTATTCATAACCCATATATAGTAAACCGTTTGGGACTTCACTATCACTGTATGAGGTAAGATTCAACAGCCTTTTCTCACATTTACACAACATTTTATGAATGCAAGTAATGAACAAATCTTAAATATGGCAGGGAATGTGTTTCCTTTTTTAGTTTGGATTTTGAGCAGCAAATTTGAAGTTACACATTGGTGCTCACCAGGAATGCAAAAGCAAAATTGCACAAAGGCCTATGTCAAATTTTCACTTGAAAGAAGACTGAACAATCTTGGGATTTTTTTCTGTGAAAGTTTCAAGTAGTGTGTACATTGAATACACTTCATCTTCAGCATGTTTGGTATAAAGTGCCAATTTTGTAAGCAAATAGGGAATGGTATTTCAACAAAAATTGTAACATTTTGTTGATAAAATTAATGGTTTTAAGGCTTTAAAATCTCTAAAACCCATTAGCTTCCGGGGGCTTTGCCCCCTGGACCCCCATCTGGGCCGTTGCCCCTGGACCCCCGCTGGGGGTCTGCGGCCCCCAGACCCCCGGCTGATTTTCAGATTTTTTTTTCATCACTCACCACTCTCATCCCTGCGTTATGCATCATGAGCCAATAATATGAGTTTTAAGCATTATGGGTAATGTCATTAATTATAGTTGGAAGTGAATATTTTTCCATCAGTTATATAACGTTAAATATCATGAAAAGAAAGACAATCTCCAATAATATGAGTTTTAAGCATTATGGGTAATGTCGTTAATTATAGTTGGAAGTGATTATTTTTCCATCAGTTATATAATCAGTTATAACGTTAAATATCATGAAAAGAAAGACAATCCAGGCTATACATTTTCAACAATGACAATCGACAGAGAAAAAAATATAAGCGTGTATATACACGTATAATCAATAGTTTATAATATTAGACATTTATTAAAGGATACCATTATATATGTGACATTATCTTTGTGTTTTGGTTTCAGGTGTATGACTTGTGGTCATTTGTTTAGTAAACAAAGCAAAGGCAAGCAGAGTTGTACACAGTGTGTGCTTGCTGGTGAGCCTTTTCGAAGTGTAAAACAAAAAAATGTGGTCCTTTGTGGGATGCCCAGAAGAACTGATGAAAAATGGTCGCCCCGCCAGCAATTAGGTTTTCCCATCCCTGTTCTCTGGTGTTTGGGTCAATTCTGATCCGTATTTATTGATATAAAGACATAAGGCAATCTTCTCCCACCAAGCAAAAAAAAAAACAAAAAACCCTCACATCATGTTTGATTGTTGCCTGTGTCAGCCAGTGCTTTTACCACTTGCCCATTTACAGTTACAGAGGTTGTATGTCTACGTCTACAAGGATTTCCATCAGGAAATATTTCTTGCCCCACTCTAGGTACTGACCATAATTCTACAGCTTTGGGTTTTTGTACAGGACACATGGAAGGTTGTTGACAATTGAAACAAATAAATTCCCCTTTTGGTTTAAACTTTGCAAACTTTGTCTCCGAGCCCCAATGTCAGCCTCACCCAAGTCTGCCTGTTGAATGGTTCAGTGACCCTCATACTTGAGCTTCTCAGTAGGCCCCTTCTTCCTGTTGAGCTGCCGGTGTGCTACCATGTAGCGCTCTGCCAACTCCGCTGCTTACTCTCCAGTCTTTGGATTGTGCTCCTTTACCCAAATGTGGACCTCAGGTTGAAGAACTCTCAAATACTGCTCCAGAATTACAACTTCTCCAATCTGGTCCTTGCTGCGATGGTCTGGGCGCATCCACCTTCTGTACAGTCCCTTCAGTCGATTATACCTCTCTCCGACAGTCTCTCCCAAGGTAACAATGGTGCTGCGAAAACTCTGTCAATACGTTTTTTCAGTAACATTGTATTTGATTAACACTGCTGATTTAATAGCTTCACAGGACTCTGCCTGCTCTTTAGCCATGCCAGCATAGGCTTCAAGTGCCCTTCCAGTCAGTAAGGTCACTACCCTGGCAGCCCACTCTTGATGCCTCCACCCCCAGGTTTTAGCTATTCTTTCAAACCTCACAAAAAAAACTTTATGCATCCTCACCCTCTCTAAGATCTGGGATTCTGGGTTCTGATACCCTGGGAATTGCAGTTTGATTTCCATTGGGAAACTGTGGAGGATGAGCGTAAGGTAGGTAACCCTGTGTTGGAGTTCCTTGTGCCGTAGGAAGGTTTGTCGGCCTGAATATTAGTGGGTCAGTGGTTTGGGCCTGTGTTTTTGGAAGAGGATAATGTTGACTTGCTTGTCTATCTAATGACCAGTCTTACTTCCTGCTGGCCAACTGATCTCTTAACTGATTGATCTGTTCAATCAACATTTCCTCTCTATGTTTAGAATATTGCATGAAGTCTCTCATTTCTTTGACAAATCCCTCACCCAGTGGGGCTCTGGTTGTACTCACTGTCAAAAGCCTTCGGCCGAACCACTGGTTGCACATCACTTCGCTCAGCTCCACCCTGGGCTTGGCAACTGTCTGGTGCATCATGGAAAAAGGCAACAGCTTCTTTTTGGGGTAACTCAAGCTCCAGGCTTCCCCTAGCCTCTTCATAGCTCTCCTGTTGAATCTGGTTTGGCTGTGCTGCACGGCTTCTTCCTCTTCCCACATTCCTCATCTTGCCTTCCTCTTTTCTTTTCCCACTTCCACAAGGAATACCTATCCCACCACTGCCACCAGTTGTTCTGGGGTTAAACAGCAGGCCAGGTGGAAAAAGAATAAAAAAGTCAATTGAGCCAGGATCCAGCAAGATGATGTTCCCGTTTTCTTTATTGCAAATGAAAACAGTTGGATAGTTACCACCATCTG